GTTCCACATTATTTTCAACTTAATAAGCGTGTATCAAACGTTGGTAGTTCAAGTGTTAACATTAAAAAATTTGGGAGAAAAGTGGCTGAAACTGATGTTTTGTGTTGGTTTTGGGAAGCAGGGTGATAATAAAAATGAAAGGAAAATATATATATATGTTTAACTGAACGTTCCCTCTTTTGAAGCTTTGAATTGACTGGCAAAGAGCAAAAATCCTCGAGTCAGACGGGTAGGTTCTCATAGCCCTAGCTTATTTCACCCTCGACATCTTTGATTATGAACGTCTTGATATAAGATCATGTTAATTTTTACCCGTATATCAATAATTTGTTCCGCACTGATAAATAATTTGCACTGCAACTGTGATACGTTACCTCAAAGTTACAGGAGTGCGTAGAGGGTTGAATACAATTTTTCTTTTTATTTTATGAAGTAGAAAAGATAATCGAAGGTCAAGGTATCGAGTCATTTGTCTTTGCCTAGAGGGAAACTATACGACAAGGTCGTGTCTTCGACTCGTTCTATCTTCGTTTACGACGATCAAGTTATTAAATTCCGCTTGGAATTACAGGGATAACCCGAGCCGCAAATTTCCTCCAAGTTATTACCAATTTTGCCAGCCACTTATCATAGAAAACGACAAGTCGAAACGATTTTTCAACGCGGAAGCTGTGAATCTGTTTTCACTTGAACAATAATGAAACACGAGAAGAAAAATTTCCATTAATTTTCCATTGTTTTCTGTGTGAAAATAGATGTTTTTCAACTAGTCTTCCCCTTTCAACGTTAAGTTAAAGCAATAATTTTGTAAACATTTTATTCTCGTTACTTCAAGTTACTAAAAATGAAGCTGCATCCCTTTAGCTGCAAAGTCCTCAATTTCGAACGATCAACATCTCGTATATCTATATGTATAAATTATATTTTCAACTTTTCATCATGGATCGAAGAGCTGAGGGGCAGAAGTTGTTTTCCACGGGACTTGTCGACCGTAGGATCGGTAAATAGTGCAGTTTTCGCGATGGCTCGATGTCAATAACGAGAGGGTGCATCTTCCGCGACCGGATAGTCTTTTTGATAGATGGTCGAGTTGCACGCACATTATGCATTCACCTGAGCTTTTACGTAAAGCAGAAAATTTGATTACTTTCGATGGAATGGCTACTTTACGTGCTACCTAAAGATCATGTTATCGATACATCATTCTTGCGATGATATACACGTAGGAAAATTGATTTCACTTAATACGACTTAATTTTCTTTTCTCGTTTTCAAGTCTCCATTTTTGTTCTCGAAAGTCTTTAATGATATCTTCGAGAAGTTCTTAAATTTTGTGCTCGAAGAGCTTTAATTTTTCCATTTTAAAATGTCTTAATGTTATCTTCAAGAAGTCTTCAGTTTCTTTTTATATCTTCAATTTGTCTCGTAAACGTCAGAATTTGCTTTTTGCAACGCCTTAATTTTCTTTTACAGAAGTTTCAATGATGCTTCCCGAGAGAGTTTAATTTTGTCTTTGAACTTTTCTCCAGAGACGGCAAAGGATCGGTCAATCGTACCGGTTCCGCAGAACGTACAGCGGATAGTTGCTTTCATTCTTCCCTAAGTTGAGATTTGTTAAAAAAGAGTAAAGGAGAACTTTGCTGAAGTTTGCGGGTAATGGAACAGAGCATAAGCTCGAAGAAGTAGGTTCTGATCACGTTATCCTTGAAATAAATTCAACTTTAGATTTCTTTTAACTCGAAGCTGAAATTTTTGGGATATTTGCCGAGCAACTCCGACTTTGCTGCTTTTCCTCTAATGAAAATTTGCGAATCTCATCGACACACGCGGAAAATAAAATAAAAAGGATCTTGCGAACCTTTTGCGATTCGAAGGCACAATATCAATCGGTCGTTGTAGAGTGCTGTATCGATCCACATTCCGGATTCTATGTTCCCGGTCGGAATGGGGAGATTCTATATCTGCGCGCGTCCAGATAGACACGATAATGGAGATAACGACGAGCTTCGTTAAATTACGCATCGAACGGGGTGAATTTGAAATCCATGCGAAAGATAGGGGTTCGCTTTGTATTTTTCCAATCGTTTCATTCTTTCCTTCGCGGCAATTGTTTGATCGAGTCGTTTTTCCGATTGGAGTCAATTAATTCACTTTATAGGATCGAAAAGCGCACAAATAAAAGGTCAAAAGTCACAATCGAGTCTTAATTAATTCATTATTTTACATTTCCGTGGATTAGCGGCAACAAATATATCAGAAGCAATTCCTGAAGTACTGTCCTATTTGTTTTCAAAATTCAATGTTATATATGGGAAATAGTAAATTAATTTGTTGAATAAAAAATATTATTCATACTTCATTTTTACATGAACGCGCGTTTAAAAAATGATAGTGATATCACCATCTGGTGGTAAATGGAAAAGGCAATGAAACAGAAAATTGCTTTTCTTTTCAAAATGTGCATCTTTTACACTTCGCTGCAGTCGATGCTTCAAGGGTTAATTCACCGATGCAACAGAGGGTGATTTTACCTCTTATCAGCTATGGCCACCTAGCAGTAAACCGCTGTTACTAATAGAACTAAATTATGCTTACGTTACCTACAGTAGGTATATCTTTTTCCCACAGTAGATTTCTATTCTATACTTTATCTTTTGAGAATTGCTATATGAGTCTGATGGTTCGCCTGTAGATGGAGAGGACATAGAAGATTCCTACTTTATCACAGCACACTTCGAAAGATTTCTAGTTTATCCTCTTAATTAATTTTTTTATTGCTTATCATTTAAACTTGAAGAAAAATTAAATAGCATCGAATGGAGCACCAGCTAATGCATCATTTTTCATCATGAAATTTTTTCCAATTTTTTTGTTATTTTAGAGTTATTATTTATTTGCTGCATATTTTGCAGCTAATGTAGATTTTACTCGCGGCGAGGCTGCATATCAATTAGCTGTCATGCAGAAAATGAGGAGTTCGTAGGAGCCTGTTCAGCGCACGTATCTTTCGGTAATGAGTCAAAAAGCCATTGTTGATGGGCAAATTTCAAAATTTCAAATATTTGCTTTAGGTAATTTTCAGAAAACGGAGATAATATATACTGTCCCTTAAAATTCGTAGGATAGTTATCCGTTTCGATAATCTTTAATGATATAATAAAAATGATTTAAATTATGCAGAAAGCTAGCAAGCTAAAAGGACAGAAAAGTTAAAAATGGGAGAAAAACTGGGGAAGGTGAAGAATTTGAAAAGAATAGAAAAAGGAGATCAGTGAGGAGAAATGAAGAACCTGGATAAGGATGTAAGAAGGAGGTACGTTAAAGACAAGGAGCCCCTAACGACCGTTCTATGTATCTAAAGATAAGGTAATGTAGCAAAGGTAAGAAGTCAGAAGAAGTAAAAGAGATAAGAGTTCAGAACCACTAAAAAAGGTAAGAAAGTTCAAGAAAAAGAAAATCTCTAGAAAAAGCTGTATAAACTAGAAAAGTTAGAAAATGCAGAAAGGCTTCACGGCAAATAATTAAAGAAAGCATTAAATATTGTAAACAATTGATCGATTATCTAACATAGAATAGGCATTAATTGCTTGTATGTGAATTTCACGGAAATAAGCGTGAAAAGACAACGAGATTAAAACAGAATCATAACGGTAGAAGCAATACATTTTCTGCTAATTAACCAATATCTGCTATTAGATAATTAACACGCTGTACAGTTGAAAGTGGACACTAATAGCATTTTGAATAGTTGCGGAATACACATTACGGAATTAATTGATGCTCTTACAGCATCCGCATGATAATTCAATTTCTCTTAATTGGAACGGATATAAATGTTAATTAGATCGGGTTAGATCCATTTCCTTCGACGAATTGACTATGCGAAATTTAACCCTTTCCGATTAAACTACGAGAACCATCTCCACTATCTTGGCATTGAAGAATACTGAATTGCAGAAAATTGCATACACTTTTTTTATAATGAAATTTAACTTCTTATTGAGTTTTCGATTCAAAAAGGTTAAAAGGTTACGAAAGGATCAAGTTAAGTTTCACGTTAAAATTACACGATTGTCCAGCCATAGATATAAGGCGATATCCGTGTGTTCCGGGTAAAGAATAAAGGTAATTACTAAGACAAACGACGGATGCTATTAACCCTAATACAAATAGTCCGGTAAATACACAGCACAGTTTAGAACGGCTGGAAGCGTGTTGACAGTAGATGGACTCACTTCATCAGAGGCGAGTAAGCTATAATTGACGTTTATTCTTTCGACCATCAAACAATCTAAGTAAATTAACGTTCAAGAGAACATTATTACAGTTCGTGTGTTGATCTTGAAATATATTGGAATTTGGAAAATCAGTGCATAATTTCATTTTGAATTATAATAAAGAAATATTAACGAATTGAAACACCAGGTTCTTCATCTTTCCTCACTTATCTACTTTTTCTAGTTTTTTCAAATTTTTCACCTTCCCCAGTTTCTTTTCCATTTCTAACTTTTCTGCGTTCTTTTTGCTAGTTAGCTTTCTACATAATATTAACGATATAATAAAGAAATACACCCATATCTCGCTTTACGGCCTAGATACGTTTCGGAAAACTTGGCCGTAAAGTGAAAAACCGTATAACGAATCAATTATTTTGATACAAACCCATACAAATTCAATTGGATCTGTTCTAATTTTTTATAAAATAATATAGCTTTTAGTTCATAAAACATTTGATTCTTTTTGTTTCCTATAAAAATGCTTACATGAAAATAAAAGTTCAGCATTTGTTTTTGGTCGTATAACGAAACATCGTGCGCCGTAAATCGAAAAAGTGTCATAATTAAAAAAGGCCGTTATAGCGAAATACCGTAAAGGTAAAGAGCGGCCGTATTAACGAATTGTTGATTAGTCGTTTATAATGATTAACTCCTATTAATTTTCTATATTTTCGAAAAACAATATTATGAAAGCTGATGCATGCATATTTTAATTCGACTCACCCCAGTCTGTACTGCGTAGTAATTCTTCTGCTGTTGTCGCCAACAATTCAATACATGAGAGGAGGACGTATTGTGCGAGTGATGGTGACAATCCTCCTGTCGGCTATCCGGTTTCTTCGTGATCGATGGAGGATCAGGCCAACGATCTAAATTGCTCCAGTATTTCCCCTTTCGTTTCACCGCGTAATATCGGTAGACCACTATTGTCATCGCGACGACCAAGGCCAAACCAGTGCCGGTAGCAGCTCCAAAAATTGCTGACGATACCATTTTCTTCGCTCTTTCTATCCGCTTCGATTTCTTCCTCCTCCTTTCTCGAATTGGAAGGGCTCTGGAGTTCCTCTGTAATCTGTAAAAGGTCAACATCGTTAGGAAAGGAGAAAAGGGAAGTTCTAGAGGCTGACTTGATTAGATTTTACATCCTGCTTCATTATCTTGGTATCTCTCTTGACTTGGAAATTCGTTAGTATTATTTTTACTAAAATTATTACTAAAATGGCATATGATTTTGTGAATTAGGAACTCGAAGAAAGAATAAAGGTCACGTTAGCCTTCCCTGAGGAAAATGTCCCGTCGGGACAAGGGAAGTAAACCCCATCATTTGTCTTAAGTCTTTGATAGCCGTTTATTTTACGAGATTAATGGCCCTTGTAATTTCTGGTTTTTCCTTATGACAAAAGAGAGAACTATATTTGTAAACTTATGATATATGCTACGAAATTCATAGTTTTTAAATTAGAAATTAAACAGCAAATTGAAATATTACATTAAACAATAAATTTGAATTATAATGCAGTACTAAACACGAGTTGTTTCCAGTCTATACCACCCGACAAGACGCGTTAATTATCACTTGAATCAGTTGCATGGCTCACGAGTACAAAGTTAGGATTAACAAGTTAAAGCCTTCATTTAGGACACGAAACTAGCTTTCTAATTAAAGTAACTGTTGCAACTTTAATGTCTAAATTTAGATTCTAATTTTATTTTTTCAGATTTTCTGGAATCTGCAAGTGATTTCTAAAAAAGTCACCTTCATTTTTTCAAATTAAATTGTGTACTTTGTTATACATCAATCGAAGCGGTCTTTTATTCTCTACAAAAAGTTATACTTGGTTCGAAAACTGATTAGTTCAAAAGATATTTTAGGGGAAGTCAGGGAGAGCCTAATGGTCTCTCCCTAAGATATCTTCTGAACTAATCAATTTTCGACCCACCTGTCTTCATACTTTCTTATAGAGAATTAAGAAAATGCTTCGATTGGTGCATACCAAAGTATACGATTTCAATTAAAATCTTTCAAAATGAAATATCACTGTACGCGATATGATAGAATAATAATTATTTTCAGTAATAAATTTTTAATAACAATATTGCGTCGGCATTTCCTTTGAGTACATCAGCGAGAAAATCACTCTGTACTTCTCTAGCATCACGAAACAGAATCTTCTTACCGCTAAATTGAAGCTCTCTCGGATTCTTGTACTATCGGTTATACAACCAGACGATTTTGTGTCGGTTATGTTTCGAGAAAAAACATTCCTGAGGGAAGGAGCATGAACGACGGCAATGCGAATCAAAGGGATTGCACGAAAGGAGGAAACGTCGACAAGATCTCGGCTTTAATGAAAAAGAAATGCTCGAGGTCTCGTTCGTGTTTGATGGCAAGATATCTGAGAGAAATATTACATGCGAAAAAGTACTCGTCTAGCGGAAGAGGAAACGCGGACTGACACAGGTAACAAATGTTCAAAGTAATCGTTCTGGGAATTGAGAGAACAACATTGTCGTTTTCGTTCTTTTAAAATTCATGTAACGCCCGAGCTTTTTCTTGGCGGTCGGCTTCTCGATTTAACTTGAGCGATACGTGATGCACATGGAATACTTTCAATTTTTAATACGTTCACCATTATACCAAATAAAAACCACAATTTTATTATCATTAAAAACCATCACGATCTTTTAATATTTCTAAAGCTGTCTGGTTATTCGTAAAATAACAAGGATTTTATTTTATTTGATAGTCATTTTATTTTCCAGGTGCGTCGCTGACACCCCGGAGTCTCCATTTTCTGGGTATGTACATCGTGGGCGTAATTCTGTCGTGCAGAGGAAATAAACCGTGCTGTTCTATCTACCATTTCCTACGTGTCTACATAATGCAACCCGTTACCGTAAAAGGATCTGATTTTTATTGATGCAGACGTGCTTGGGAAAAAGTGCATAAAGAAAGTTACAAGCGACGGAAAAGCTACCTGCATAAAATATCTGTATCATTTATTCAATTTATTTTTGCTTGATGTACACGTATCCTTCAAAATTCGAATTATTCCAAACTTCTTTAGCTTCAATTAAAATGAATTTTCCCAGTAACGTTCATTAAAGAGGAACTTCGTTCGTTAGTACAGAGGCGTAAAGAGAAAAACATCTGTCGCCACGTTGGCAAACTTTGTATCCTGTAGAACACCCTTCAGTCTCTCGTTTAAACTTTCCTCTCCTTCCTACGCACCAAACCACCGCCGAGTATGGTAATGAGTCATTTTGCTCGACCGTCAACCATGTCCAAACAAGATTTGGTCACCGTAACAAAAACTACCCTCTCTTTGAAAGTGGACCGTCATGGAAACTAACACTTGCACGATTGATCACCCATATAGGTCAACGTGAAATAGATTACAAAGTGTTACTTAGGTACCAATAAAAAGATTAATTTTTTTCGCTGCGAATTAACGTCATGAAATAAAAAAATATGTATATAACACTACTGGGTTGAAGAATATTAAAGAATTAATTTATCAACGGTGTGACATCATCAAGGTTGTTGGTAAATTATTTCCGTCGCTTTTAATAGTTCGTCGAAATTCTGATGATTAAAAGCCGATTTTATCGCGACGATAATCAAAGCCAATTTATCATGGTATTTGCGTAGGTTGATGGCAAAGCCGCTTTTATATGACGCGAGTTAACCGAACTTGTATTTCGTGTAAAAATGTGACTAATTGAATGTTCGGTTTATATAATGGAAGAACGTAAATAAACGATAAAAATAAACGGAAAGTTGAAAAATATCGAACGAAAGTGATGAGAAACAAATTGGGGATTAAAATATCAACGTACAGAGTGAAATTCTATTAGGTAGAAATATTGGATTTAAACGTTCAATCAGAATTATTTCCTCGCACTTTTCTCTTCATGAAATTTTAATTCCTGGGTAAATATGGACGTTTGTAAAATATTCTCTTTAAGTCGTTAAAACAGAAAACATTTATGTTTAACTAAAAAACAATTATTATCCTTTTGAACAGGATGTCAACCAGGGAAGGGTTGATTCTTCTCAAGGGTTGAAAAAGCGGTTTTGTTTATCAGGAAATTGAATTTGAAAATAAAGCTGAATACAAAATGATGTATTTTTGGAGAAAAACAGAGGACATAACGTAGGAACTTTGATTTTTATAATCAACTATGTGATGTGTATCAGACAAAGGTTACGGTCGAGAAAAATGGGAACGTATTTATTGAATTTTTAATGTAATCAAAACTTTGGACCAAATCAATTTCAATGTCTCGCAACTATAATCTCTACGGAAACATCAGAATGCAGAAGTGCAGGTAAAAAATTTTTCTTGCTAGAAATATCAAGCTACAAATTACATTATGTTGTTACATATTTAATACCTAATGAACGGGACACGTAGATTTACGTTTTTGCACATACATATTTTGATTGCGCTGCCTTCAAATAAGTCCGGAAATGGAAATAGATTGGGGAATAACAAGCCATTCGTTAAGTATTAAATGTCCGATTTTGAACACAATATAATTTTATAAGTCTTTAAGAGATAAGTATAAATATTTCAAGATGAAACTGATAAAAACGACTATCAAAGCCAGAAACGAGATACATCAACAAAATTAATGGAATACAAGAACGGTGAAGCGACAGTCTACTATTATTTTGCTTATCTAGCTTCTAAGCGGTATTTCTTGACAGATATTTCATTGTTCGGGCTAGAAATGATTACGCTTTGAGATTCCCAGTCTTGTGGCTGAGAAACGTGCAAACTAAGATATATTGATCCGTCGTTAATTACTGCTCTGTTTCCGTGATCCCTCGATCTCGAGTAATCCATTCTCAAGGTTCACCCATATTTGTTTGTCCCCGATTCAAGTTTGTGATTAAACTTCTTGATATATTAAAAATTACTCGCGGGGACAATTAATGAACTGTAATGAATGTCAACAATGCGACACTGGTTGTATGAGTAAAATTTCAGGGTGATTAATCCTTTGAGGGGCAGTGGTACGTAATGTGTTGTAAGTCACTTATAGGTAAATTACAAGCACGATGATTAAAACATGTTATTTCAACTAAAGAAATTATCGATGTCTTTGAAAATCAGGAAAAGTGACTCTGAAAAGTCATAAATCCAATACGTAAAGAATAGGTACAATAGGTATTTGATGTTTTATTGTTAGATGTAATTTGTAATGGAAGAATGATAAAATGCAATGAAAATATGAATGAATATTATCGAGATTAATTGGCAAAAAAAATGAATGTCTCATTGTACTATAGAAGAATTGTGTAGAGAATTGTTGAAAGGTAAGGAATTAAAACGGAGAATGAATAAGAATAAAGTTCAACAAAGATAATAGGAAACTAGGGTATTAACTTAAATGAAGGAACAATAAAGAAAATGGTCTCTTTCGTCATTTAGAAATATTAGTATTATGTAATCTAGTCTGAATTGTTAATGGGATATTACTTAGAGAGAGAGAGAGAGAGAGAGGAATTCAAAGAAGATTACGTAGAATTTCGAGAGTTTTGTTATCAATCTACTCGTCACAATTATTAAAACGAGGATTCGTAATGAAAATATATTTTAATTTTTGGAAATGAATTTTATTTTCAACTTTTATTTGATTTATCAATAACAAAAGTTATATGAAAATATATAATTATAAAATTATAACTCCCCATCAACTTGGCTTAGGTTTATCGATTTGATCCCCGTTTTACATCAACATTGATTCAATTAATGTTCCTGTTTACCTAATAAAACTTTTATCTCCAGCAGCTATCGTGTGTCATTCGTATCTCACGTGACAGGAAACGCGTTAACTTAAATGATGCTCCCATGGAACAGTTTACTCAACATCTTCGTTTTGTTGTTTTTCTTGCAACATAATTTTTCATAGTTTCTACATGTATCAGAACTTTGAAGATCAAAAGCATCGCATTCGATATGGTTATGATAGTGTGTAGCGTAAAAACCACAAGTCAAAGACTTAAATATTAAAGATATTAACATTCTATTCGCGTTTTCTCGAAGAATTTAATTACGAGAT